CTGGGCTCAGGGACCTGCACCACTGGAATTGTACTCCCCGGGCCATGCAGCCCCTCTGCCCAGACACGCTGCCTGAGCTTCTCTTGAGGCCCCACCTGGCGCGCTCCAGCCCTTTACCAAGCTTGGCCCATGGTGTGTGGCGAGCTCTTCCCCAGCGGCACACCCTCTGTTAGTGACCCCGGGAGCCTGGACGCTCCACTGCCCCTCTAGGATCCTGCCCGAGTTCCCTATGAGTGCCTTTCCCCCGGGAAGAATCTGGTGTGGAGTTTTAAAAGTTCTACTTCTCCGGGGCTGGGCTTTCCTGTCCTGGAGGCTTTGCCGCCTGGCCTCGTGGGGGCCCTTCCCCCACTTGATTATTTATTTATTTTAAAAAAATTTTCCCCTCTTCCTACCTTGTTAGAAGTGCAAACTCTTCTCTCTGTAGTGTTCCAACTGTTCTCCCTTTAAATCTCAGGCTGAATTCGTAGGTTTTCAGGATGATTTGTAAGTTATCTAGGTAAGTTGATGGGGACAGGTGATTTGGGACCCTACTCTTCTGCCATCTTGCCCGGCCTCCTAGTGAAATCATTTTTGTTGCTATTTTGAGGCCTATAAATGTTATACACATTTAGAAAGGGAAATGCCGGGCAAATTAGCTTCAGAGAAGACTTCTTGATGAAAAGTGTTTTGAGATGTGTCTTAAAAGAGAAGTCAAATCAGATAGAGATAGACACAATTGGCAGGGATTTCAGGGGGAAGCACAGCAGGTAAGAAAGATCTAGCAAGCTGGAGAGGTATAGAGGGCCTCACTTATGATTGTGACAAATGCAGGTGAGCAGCAGTGGTGGGTTTTGGTCCAGGGATGGATTGTGGGGTGCTCCTATTCCATTATACAGATTCCTGACTCACTTGTGAGTGGTGCAAAGGTCTCTGTTTCTCTATATATCTTCTCTGTCTCTCTTTCCTTCCACCTCAAACTCTGGTCCTCGACTAAACTGAAGGAAAGGGAGGATAGGAGAATGAAAACTCTCATTGTTTTTATGCTTTATTATCACAGTGAAAACCAGTGTAATAAAAAGCAACTCAATTCAACTACTAGACAGAGATAATATGGAAAATAAGCAAATAAGTCTTGTAAGTGTGATGAATTAATAATCGATGTGCTTAATAAAACTCCAGCTGCCTCTTGCATAAAACTTGAAATGTCCCATAAAATGAATGAATGGTTTTTACCATTGAAGCTTGGTTATTGAATTATATTCACAATATATTTCCATTTGTCAGTGGACATGTCTTAAAAGGAAAAGAAAGCAAACCCATCACAATAAATGTCTAAACTAAGAAAGAGGCATCAATTGAAGAAATTATGCAATAATCTGAAGAAATCTTACATATATATCCTTTGTATGCCTTATGCTCATCTGCATAAGTACCCCAGGAAAGAGTGATTGGTTTGATAAAAGTTTGAAAGAAATGAACTATCATGTTTCCCATAAACCATAATTTATTAATTTCATGCTGTCCCTGAAAGTTTAATCTTCAGAAGGTCCATTTACAATGGGAAATTTAATTATTTTATAACACCCTTCCCAGGAAATTTAGTTGAGGCTTACTTAATTGAATTGACAAGATTCTGAGAATCTTGCCCAGTCGTTCATTCTTGTGTACAGGGTTTTACCATGCTGTCAGCTTGCAGTAAGCTGAAATTAAATGACCCAGTTGGAAATCCACAGAGAGGACCAGGAGACTAGAGGGGAATGGTAAAAAATGAAGCAAACACTTCCAGAGCTGAGCAAGTCATGACTCCTTAGATCAAAATGGTCTATTGAACATTGTGTGGGGGACATAAAATAGGGCACAGCGTGGAGGATCTTAGAAAACTAAGAATGGAGAGATGCCCTAAAGGCCCCTGGTGCTGGGGATGAGAAAGAGAGACAGAAAATCTAATTGACATCAGGAAATTTCTCATTGACAAGAAAACAATGGCGAAATATGCTTAAACAATCTCTAAGTGGAAAGAATATGAACCTAAAACTGTACAGCCAGATAACATATTATTCTAGTAGAAGTACTAAATAAAGATTGTTTTAAGAAAGAAATTCAGAAAATTCACCACCTCATTGAAGGAAATCTCCTTTACAAGAACTTAAAAAAAAAAAAGAATCTTTCTTTAAAATACTGAAAGATATACTCCAGAAGGACATTAAGCTCAACACTTAAAAATGGGACAGAAGAGGTGGTGACAAGAAACATAGTAACCTCTTTTTATTGATACAATTGAAGTTAATTTTGTTTATATTTATGTATATATTTTTATTTATATATTATATATTTATATCTATATCTATATTTTTTACAGAAATAAGGGAAAACAAATAATAATTCTGTGATTAAATACAACCAGTGGGACCCCTGGGTGACTTAGTCCCTGAGTCCTGGGATCTAATTCCACATTGGGCTCCCTGTGGGGAGGCTGCTTCTCCCTCTGCTTGTGTCTCTGCCTTTCTCTGTGTGTGTCTCATGAATAAATAGATAAAAATCTTAAAAAAAATAAATACAACCTACAAAGCACAGAAGGAAATTTTCCCAATCTGACAGAAGACCACTATGAAAAACCTACAGTTAACATGTTTGATGATCAAAGACTGGCCACAATACTTCTGACGCTAAGTATGTTTTCTTTTCTCTACACTAATTCTCCAATTCTCTGGACACCAGCTGGATGTCCTACAAGTCAATTCAGTTTTGACACTGACAGACCCCACAGGTTAAGGGTTCAGCCCCTCAAGACTGCCCCCACTTCAGACACCAGTCACAAGTTAAGTTCTATAATTTCTAGAACAGCTCACAGAACTTGGAAGGCATTTTACTTACTATTATCGGTTTATTATCAATGATCCAGATGGAGCAGCTAGCTGAAGAGGTACATAAGGTGAGGTCCAGAAGAGTCTCAAGCACAGGAGCTGCTGTCCACGGTGCTGGGGCCCCCTACCCTCCTGACACATGGATGAGTTTATGACCTGGAAGCTCTCTAAAACCCTGCTGCTTAAGGGTTTTTATGGAGCTTTCATTGGGTAAGCACAACTGATTAAATCATTAGCATTGGTGATTTGACTCAACCCCTAGTCTTCCTTCCTTCATGGAGGTGGGGTGGGGCTGGAAGTTCCAACCCTGAAATCGTACTTTGGTTTCTGGTGACCCTGTCCTGGAACTATCTGAGGGCCTGCTTAGAGCAAGAGATGCTCCTTATCACTCATGAAATTCTGGGGATTTAGGAACTCTCTCTCTCTCTCTTATTTATTATTGTATCACAGCCCTGAAGATCAGGAATAAGGCAAAGATGTTTACTCTCACCATCTTTCATCATTGTACTGGGGGTTCTAGGCAGTGTAGTCAGAGAAGAAAATGAAATGAAAGACACACAAAATGGAAAAGATGCAAAACTATATTTGTTCACGGACAGGATTATCACATTTATCTCTATGTAGCAAATCCTAAAATATTTACACATTTAAAATCTTACTAGAAAATGAGTGGGAAATATCAGAAAGGGAGACAGAACATGAGAGACTCCTAACTCTGGGAAACGAACTAGGGGTGGTGGAAGGGGAGGAGCGCAGGGGGTGGGGGTGACTGGGTGATGGGCACTAAGGACAAACAGTATATGTTCTCATTCATTTGGGGAATATGAATAATAGTGAAAGGGAGTATAAGGGAAGGGAGAAGAAATGTGTGGGAAATATCAGAAAGGGAGACAGAACATGAAGACTTCTAACTCCGGGAAATGAGCTGGGGGTGGTGGAGGGGGAGGAGGGCGGGGGGTGGGGGTGAATGGGTGACAGGCACTGAGGGGGACACTTGATGGGATGAGCACTGGGTGTTATTCTTTATGTTGGCAAATTGAACACCAATAAAAAATAAATTTATTATTAAAAAAATCTTACTAGAACTGACAAGCGAATTAAGCAAAGGATACAAGATCAAAATACAAAACTCAATTGTATTTCTATATGCTAACCACAAATAATTCAAAATGAAGGCAAGCACAGTGAGATATCACTTCTCACCTGTAAAAATGGTTTGTATCAAAAGACAAGAAATAACAAATGTTCGCAAAGATATGGAGAAAAGAACTCTTGTGCACTGCTGGTGGTAAATTGGTACAGCTAATATGAAAACAGTATGGAGGTTCCTTGGAAAATTAAAAATAGAATTACCATATGATCCAGCAATCACACTTCTGGGAATTTATTCAAAGAAAATGAAAATACTGATTTGAAAAAAAATATATGCAGCCCTATGTTCATTGTAGCATTATTATGATAGTCAAGAAATGGAAGCTAAGTGTCCACCAATAGATGAATGGATAAAGAGGATGTGGTGTACACACACACGTGCACACACACACACACACACAATGGACTACTAATAAGCCTTAAAAAGGATGGAATCTTGTCATTTGTGATAACATGGATGGACTTGGAGGGTATAATGCTAACTTGAAATAAATCAGTCAGAGAAAGACAAATCTATGATTTCATTCATATGTGGAATTGTAAGAAACAAAACAAATGAACAAAAGAAAAAGAGACAAAAATAGTTTCTTAAATACAGAGAACAAACTGTTGATTGTCAGAGGGGAAGTGGGTGGGAGGATGGGTGAAATAAATGATGGAGCTTAAGAGTACGCTTATCATGATGAATACTGAGAAGTGTATAGAGTTGTTGGACTCTATATTATATGCCTAAAACTAATATAATACCATATGTTAACTAAACTTGAGTAAAATAACTATAGATCTTTTAGAAGAAAATTTATGAGAAAATCTTCATGATATTTTGTTTGGCAATAAATTCTTAGCTATGACACCAAAGGGTAATCCATAAATAAACATTGGTGAACTAGACCTTCTGCAAATTTAAAAACTATTTCCCTTCAAAAGATACTATGAAGAAAATAAAAAGACAAGACTGGATTGTCTTTCATTTTTTAAAAAAAATTTATTTATTTTTTTGAAGATTTTATTTATTTATTTGAGATAGAGAAAGAGTGAGAGAGAGAGAGCAGGAGCCAGAGGGCAGAAGGAGAGGGAGGAACAGGGTCCCCACTGAGCAGGAAGCCCAATACAGGGCTCAAACCCAAGTCTTTGGCATTATGATCTGAGCTGAAGGCAGACACTTAACTGACTGAGCCACCCAGGTGCCCTTGGATTATCTTTCTGACAAATCATATGTTTTATAATAGATTTGTATCCATTATATATAAAGAATTCTTACAACTCATTTTGAATACAACTGAATAAAAATGAGCAAAATATTTGAAGAGACATCTTACGATGGCCAATAAACACATGAAAAGATGTTCAGCATTATTAGGCATTGGAGAAATGCATTTTAAAACCACAACTAGATGGCTGTCATAAGAGGCTGACAATAACAAGTGTTGACAAGAACATGGAGCAACTAGAAACTTTATACATTGCTGGTTGGAATACAAAATGGTACAGCCACTTTAGAAAAGAGTTTCACAAGAAGTTGCACATAAATTTTCCACATGCATCAATAATTCTATTAGTAAGTAGGAATCTAAGAGAAATAAAAAGACGTGCAAATATTTATAGTAGTATTAATCACAATAGGCAAAAATTGGAAATGATCCAAATATTTATTAGTTGGTGAATAGATAAAAATTTTGGCTAGCTATACATTGGAATATTATTTGTTAACAAAAAAAGGAGTGAAATATTGATACATGCTACATACAACATGTAGATGAATGCTAGAACATTATACTAAGAAGTTAAATGTAAAGCACTACATGTATGATTGCGTTGCATGGGAAATGTCCAAAAAAGGCCTGGGACTGGGAATGGGGATGGTATGGACTGAAAATAGTCATAAGAATTCTTCCCACAGTGATGGAAGTGTCCTAAAACTGTATTGTGGTCATGGCTGCACAACTCTGAAAACTTACTAGAAATCACTGAATTGTACTTTTACCAACAGAGAATTAATGTGGTATATAAATTATACCTCCATAAATCTGTTAAAAATAGGCAACACACTTTGTGAAGAAAAGTATTTGCAGTGCATATATTAAATATATAAAATATAAATGTCTAAATATTGTAAGAGAAAGGCAATCAGCACAATGAAAACATGTACAAAGGATATCCATAGGCAAACACAGAAGAATAAATAACAAATGGCTGAGAAACACATTGGAAAATCCTCAGTTTCACAATAATCAGAAAATGATAGCAGCAAGAAAGTGTCATGAAATGGGTAAAAAAGAAAGAGATTAGTGAGAATTCGTTTGGCAGTTGGTTCTGAGCATTACTCATTGCCAGTGGGTAATTCTATCCTTATCCATTGCCTGTGGGTCTCTGCTAATGTTTATACACACACAGACACACACAGACACACACAGACACACACACACTCTCTTAAGAGAGGGCCGCATTTCAGAGGCAAGTAAGTGTCAGAAGATTGATGGAAGGAACAACATTCTTCCTGGGTGTCCCTTCTTCTTCTCAGCTTCCCATCAGAGAGTGGTGAGCACTGGAGCCTCCGTGGCATAATTCCAGGCCCAAAGCAAACCTGCAGAGCCCATGTGCTAGGGCCCAAGCGTGTAGAATTATGGCATCATAGTGTTTATACTTTCTCAATAGATGTTAAGACTTGACTCTTCTTGCACCAGAGTTCACTGAGGGGCCAAGTAGATAGATATGAATATAAAATTGGTTCACTGGATTCCAACTATTAGTATCCTTATATAAATAGAGCTTTTCATGCTAGAAGCACACTGCCCACACTGCTTACCTTGGGAGTTTGTCTAGAGGGTCATAAAACAAATGCATGTGCTGTATTTGATTGTCCTACTTATTACAGGAACAACACTTTTTTCTTCTCTACTGTGAATTACTTTATTGTTAAAAGCAATCTAATAAAAAATGAAAGGACAATATAATAAAAAAGATTGCATCCATAAAAGTAACAAAATTATAGAATACTAGTACTAAAGTGAGAAATAATATGCAAATATTATATCTCTAGAACTACTAAACTTACCTGTAGTATGTTGAAGGCCAGAATAAAATGAAGTTTTTTACCATGTACTTGAATAAAAAGACTCATTTTTTTCATTAGATCATTTCTCCCAGAATTAGTTTATAGATTTATTGCAATTCTAATTAAAATAGAATAATATAATATATAATATATAATATATAATATATATAATAATAGAATAATTTCCAAGTCATATAAAATGAATGTAGACTTGACCTACTAACCATTACAAAAACAATGCTGGGATAATTGGCTTCTGTTTTGTTATCAAAACACTCAACACCACTCATAAAAAGAAATCTAGTGTATACTAAATAGCTAAATGTAAAAACAAATGAAACAAATCCAAATCTATCTCTAAACAAACAAACAAAAAATTAGTCAATATGAAAGTAAGAGAATATTTATATCATTGGGAATAAAGAAATCTTTCTTTAAAATAAACAATACTATTGTCACAAAGACAAATTAATAAATTTGACAGCATCAAAATTAATATTTTCCCTATACCTAAAATCAGCATAAAAGATCCTAGAGAGAAAATCCTGTGAATGTACTACAAAATATTAATGTTGGGCTCCAGAATGCAATCCTACAAATTCCTGTGAAAAAGATAAAAATTATTTTTAATAAAGCTTAAAAGGATACTGTCAGACAACTCAAAGAGAAAATGGAAAACAAATGGATCCATCAACTGAGAGTGTCTTATGAATTGATGTATAGTTATTCCAAGAAAGAATAGGCAGTAATTTTAAAGAATGTGGTCGATTGTTATATACTGATGTTGACAATGTCTCTAGGTAAATTGTTAAATTACAAAGACACTGGAAAATAGTAAAATGATTATAATATCAATTACCAAAACCAAATCCACTAAACAAACAAACAAAAAACAAATAAAGAAACCTTAAAATTCCTAAAAAGAATATGTATGAATATATAGAAAAATGTCAAGGAGGACAGTCAAGAAATTGGTTACAGTAATGTATTCCTAGTCTTTCCATTTGTTAGTTCACAAACCTAAAATCATTACCGTTTTAAGCTCCTGAATACGATGAGTAGATGTGGCTGTTAGCCACCTGCTTCTGTTTTCCCACCTGTTCCAGGCAGATGTCACACTTATCCTCATCAGGGAAGTATTATGAGAAGCCGTTGGAAAGAAACTTCTCAATAGGCAGTCCCCATGATCCTCACACCAGCGGGTTCAGTGCCTGTGAGTGCTTCATTTGCTTGCTAGGAGTGAGAAATAAAAGTGTCCCCTCCCAGGTCTGAGCAGCTTACTACAATGTTCACATTATTACCAACCCCAGAGGCTCATTGTTCCCACTTCCAGATCATCTTGTTTGCCAAAAATACAAGGAGGCTCACAGGACTTTATCCTTACAGGCAAATGGGTGTGTTCCCAGCAGGAATAGGCTTCAAGGGGAGGGAACAGCTTCCCATGAACAAGAGTCATTCTTTCCACTATTCCCAAACCCACAAGGATATAAACAGAAAATCTGATTTAACCCACTGACTCACAGCAAAGAAAACACCTCCTCAGATGTCAGGAATAAAGTCATCACCAGGATCCTGACTACATTAATAAATAAAAGATAATCGTGAACTTTGGCCCAAATTGAGTGAAAACATTCTTCCAGATTTCTTTTTTTTTTTTTTTGTATATTTTTTTATTGGAGTTCGATTTGCCAACATATAGTGTAACACTTAGCGCTCCTCCTGTCAGGTGCCCCCCTCAGTGCCCATAACCAGTCACCCAATCCCCCCACTCACCTCCCCTTCCACCACCCCTTGTTTGTTTCCCAGAGTTAGGAGTCTATCATGTTCTGTCACCCTCTCTGATATTTCCCACTCATTTTCTCTTCCACATTTCAATGAATTGTTTACTTCATGAATATGGAAAACTTGCTTTTTCTTTCCAGTCATCTCCCCTTGACAAAAACAAAGGAGGACAAACAGTCTCAAACTCAGGGCAATAACCATTCGCCTTCCTAGAGCACTGCAGAATTTACCGAGCATTTGTCACACACCCTTGTCTTTGAAACTGGTGGAAAGCTTCAGAAGAAGAAACTATGATTTACAAACCTGTGGAGATTTGCCCAAAGTCACAAACCTTGGAAGCACCAAGTCAAGGGAACTGGAAACCTGGCCTGTGACTTCCTTACCTTCTAGAGCCCCTCCTGTTGCACAGGAGCTGTCCCCTGTTGCTTCTTTCAGATGCCTGGGAGGATGCACTGGGAACATAAAGGAGGGGAGAAATAGAACCTGGGCCTGACTTGTCTGTGCCTTCCATGTGCTATATACACTACAGGTTGCCAGGCAGGCAGTGTGACGCTCCTGTGTGCAGCTTGGGCTGAGACCTGCCATGGCCAGAGCCGTAATAGCCCACACACATGGCTGTGCCATCTCTCTGTACCCCTGTAGTGATGCTACCCCAGGCATCAGGGGCTCCTAGCTTTCTCTGACCCCAAAAAGTCTGCTCAGCATGCTGCAGTGATTAATGTCCCCAGGGGGGGCCCCAAACCAAGGAGGGCTCAGAGTCAGTGCCCCCAACCCCCAACTGTCCCTGGATAGGACAATCCTAAGGTGTATTCTGCATTCTCCTTAGAAGGTCCTGGCGGAACAACCCTGAGGCCCATCACACTGACTGTTCTTTAAAGCATCCTTTATTTTGGCTACTATCCTTTCTCCCACTCCAGCTGTCTGACATCATCCTCCAAATAAATGATCTGTGCCCAAATCCTATCTCACACCTGGCTTCAGGAGCTAAAACAAAAACAATTGCTATGTTTGTATCTTGTTCTTGTTTGTTCTCCAAGTTCCTGGAGTAAAGTGGGTATTTGTTGAATGACTAATTGTCAGCTCCACTTCCTCTAATATGTGTGTTTCTAAGTAACAGGCAAAGTCAACTTTGACAATGACAACAAGTACAACCAAAATTAATGATAATACCCATGTGCCTGCCCTCTTGTACCCTGGCTTCCGAAGAGTGGGAGAGAGAGAGCCAGATCTTGAAATGTTTGTTCTGATTATTTTGGTTAAGTACCAACCCATATACATACTTGGGCCTAAATACAGCACATTGAAATTGGTGTCTAAGTTTGTGTTTTCTTTTTTGCAGGTGGGGATGATATAGACCTCCTGAATCTCCATTGTCAAGATCATTTTTTCCTTTTTTTAAAAGACTATTTACTTATTCATGAGAGATGGGGGTGGGTGGCAAGAAGAGAGAGAGAGAGGCAGAGACACAGGCAGAGGGAGAAGCAGGCCCCATGCAGGGAGCCCGACATGGGACTTGATCCTGGGTCTCCAGGATCACGCCGTGGGCTGAAGGCGGAGCTAAACCGCTGAGCCACCGGGGTTGCCCTCATTTTTTCTTTCCAAAGTCAGTTCTGTTGCAACTGCTTTTCCTTCCTGGAGGTGACGGTCCCCAGGTTCTATGGCTGTAGCATTCTATGTAGGGTGCAAGGAAGCTGGTGGCCAAGGAAAGGAGGTATGTCCCTGTACACTAATAACTGACCTTTACTAGCCCTGGGGATGTGTACCCTCTGCTTGAGAGGAACTCAAGCAGTCTAATATTTTACAGAGACAGCAGGCTATGGTGGAAAATCACAAGCAAAACCCAAAAAGCAAAAATGCTCTTAGTTCTCAAGAGTCAGGAGAGCTGAGTAGTGCTTCAAGCTCTGTCACTCACTGTCATTGCTATGACTATAAGTAATTATTGCAAAATTGTTGGATGCCAGGTTCTACATTCTGTGCTTTATGTGCCTTTTCTTATTTTACTTTCAGAAAATTTCTGCACTGTTGTAATAGGGATTTTTTTTTTCCTGTTCTGGAATCAGCAACTAGGTCCCATAGAAGAATCCATCAGGTACCCATCATACTAAAGAGAATTTTGGGGACTGACTTGGCTAATCTAGTAGAGCTTTTAAAGATGGGCTTTAGATGACAATGGCTTTAGCTATAGGCACCCGTCACCTGCCTTCTTACTGCCCTGGAAGCGCTTTCAGAGGGGACTGAGACACTGAGGTGGCCAGTCCACAGGAGCAGGGCTGGAAGAATAAAATGCCCTTGTGAATGAAAGTTGATCTGATGCCAGAGCAGTCTTCAGGAGAAAATGGAACAGCCTTGCAGCTTCCAAGATGAGTTCTTAATGGGCAACAGCGTAGTAACCAAAACAATGAGTGTGGAGCTGTGGCCCAGAGACCAAACCCCTCCTTCCCATGTTTCTCCAGCTGGAGTGGAACAGTCTCCAAAGTGGAGCATTCAGGAAGAATGGAGTGGAGCAGACCTGCAAATCCAGTGCATGATCCCCCACTGTGCCTTGCTGTAGGGTTCCTCCCTGTTAGCTGACGCAGAGTGGCCAGGCTGTTTCTGAGGGAGAACCTGTGCAACCACCATGGGAGTGGGTCTTCAACAATGCAGGGTAACCAGTGGGATAGGGTCCAGTCCTCCCCAGGTACATTATGGGCATTGGTGGGATTTTCTGGAATCTTGGGGGGCCTGATAAGCCCTGAGTTTGGGATGCCCACGGAGCAGTTTGGTACTTCCACAAATGTTCCCTTAAGCCTGTCTGGTTAGAGATGCTGTGCACATCTGTGTCTCTGCCCTAACCAGCATGCTGGTGTTCTAGTGTAGTCCGAGAGTAAGCACAGTGACCTTGTGGGGATGAAAAAGGCAGTGAGATGTGGGTCTGATAATGGAACATACCTGTATCTGTCAAGCCCACTGCTAAGGAAAACTACTCATTGGGTCAGGATTGATTTGCAAAGCCACTGGCACCTTGGCTTGATATAGCCATGGTTTACAGGGTAGCCCTTTATCCTGGTATTTACTCTACACTTTACAGTTCAACAGGAAAGGTGACCAGAGAAACCTCTGGTTCTTTTTTTTTTTTTAATTTTTTTTATTTATTTATGATAGTCACAGAGAGAGAAAGAGAGAGAGGCAGAGACACAGGCAGAGGGAGAAGCAGGCTCCATGCACCGGGAGCCCGATGTGGGATTCGATCCCGGGTCTCCAGGATCGCGCCCTGGGCCAAAGGCAGGCGCCAAACCGCTGCGCCACCCAGGGATCCCGAAACCTCTGGTTCTGACTGCGATAAGTATAATGAGCAAAAGGTAGTAGCTATAATACCATGTAGCAGGGTGAGGTCTGGTGCCCCAGGGCCAGGAGGGTTATCTGAGAAAAGGATGCTGGAATTGGTATTGAAAGGTGAGTCAGTTACCTGGGCAGGGATACTCTTGAAGACAGGGAGACCAAGCTGTGATTCTCCCTTCGGTGTGCCTCAACAGAGGATCCATAAATCTATAGGGCATCTCTGGGCAAAAGCTGTGGAATGTTCTGTGACACAGAATGGACCATATAGCCTTGGGCTTAATTCTGACTTGCAAAGAACTGTTTATTGCTGATAGTCCTTAAGGTCTTGGACATTCTCACATATGCTGTCAGGTAGTAGTGCTGGGCTCTGCAGCCTGGCTCACTCTCCTCTTTGGTTAATACATGTTCAATAATTTCAGCATTATTTTTTATATTTGCTATTTTTTTTTTCTGATTGAGTTGTGATATTATTTCCAATGCCCAAAGTGACTCACTAGTTGTGTGCTGAGGTGGAAAATACTGAGTTAGTTGATATGAGAGTGGCTGGTGAATGGGCATCTGCAGTCAGGGCCCCAGCAGAGGAGCTGGAAATGGGAATGCATCTCCTGAATAACCTCACGGGGCTTGTGATTATTTCAGATGCTTTACAAATATTAAGTTAATTATTCCCCAAACTCTACAGGGTGGGTAATATCACTGTCTCTCTTTTATAGATGAGGAAACTAAGGCACAGAGAGGTTAAATAATTTTTCCAAGGTCTCACAGCTCAGAAGTGATAGATCTGGAATTCGAAGCAAGTCGGCATATTCCCAGTCCAAGCTGCCTCCCTAGTGTGCAAAAACACCCTGAGAAGAGCTGTTTGAGAGGAACACACTCATGGATGCCCAAGAGGGTTTTATTGGACAGGTATTACCTCAGCCTTCGTGGCTTTCTTGTCAAAGAGAGACATAAAGCTGACAAACCTATTGGGTCAGTTTTTCCCAATAATCATTAAAATGATTATTAATAATTAAAGATAGCACTGCAGTCTTGCAAAGAATTCAAATAATACCAGGAAAGCTAGTCTGGTGGATGGACATACCGAATCCCAATCCCTCCCCCTAGACAAACACTGTCATGTTC